ACAGAACCCTCTACTGGACAGCACGGCCCTGGACTCCATACCAAACAAGCAGTCCACAAACCCGAGTGATCACATTGACAGGAGGAGCTTGCTCACGCCTGTAATCCCAGCACTTTGGGAGGCTGAGGCCAGTGGATCACCTGAGGTCAGGAGTTCGAGACCAGCCTGGCCAACATGGCAAAATCCCATCTCTACTAAAATTACAAAAATTAGCTGGGTGTGGTGTGTGTGCCTGCAGTCCCAGCTACTCAGGAGGCTGAGGCAGAAGAATCACTTCAGCCTGGGAGGTGGAGTTTGCAGTGAGCCGAGATCGTACCACTGCACTCCAGCCTGGGCGACAGAGTGAGACTCTGTCTCAAAAATAATAAAATAAACCACATATTCCTGGGTTTCAACCCCAGATCCTTTCCTTTAGAGTCTTCGGCGGGGCCCTGAATTTTGAAAAACCTTTCCCAGGTATGGACAATGAGCCAGATTCGGGTCCTGGCATTTTAGCTAGCTGGACATCATCTGAGCGATTCATCCTGAAAGAATTATCTGGGACCTTGAAGTCCCTGGAAGTCCTGTCAAGCCCCAGGAGCAGGGACAAAGAGCTCAGCACAAGGCATAGGATAAAATTGCCTGCGGTACTCACCATTGAGGAACCACAGGCCACGCCTCGGCTAACTCATCTCTTGGGAAGATCCCTTTGACATCCACCCGAATTTTCCGCAGATACGGACCGTGCTGGAGGCAGAAGGAAGATGCTATCAAGTCCAGGTTCTGGTTAATCGGAAGCCACACTTCTTGGAAGCCGTTTAATGCCGAGCGAACAAACTCTTTGTCTTGAGTCTCGAAAAGACAGCGGAAGGCATCCAGGGTGTCTCCCGGGGCGGCGGCATTGGGCTGCTGACCCAACAGAGACACCCAGTGCAGAAGCTTCTGCTTCACCCCCAGGGGAACGGGACAGCCCAGCAGGACCTCCAGTGGCCTCCTTACGTCTTCGCTCACCAGGCCAAACAAGAAACGCTTCATCCAAAGCAAGTGGATGTGGAAGCCTGCTTGTTGAAGCTCCATGGACTTCTTCGTCTTCTCAATGAACAGAGGGCAGAGAGCTGGCTCGATCTCCAGCCCCTCTAACACGTAGTACAAGGCGGCACAGAAGTCCTGGAGACTGAGGTGGAAGAAGGTGTAGAACTCCTCGCAGTGGCTGTCTCGGAGAAGGATATTCATGTGAAACAGAGTACGGAGTTCAGACTCCCCGAGTCCGTGAACCATGAGGTCGTCACCATCAAACACAGACTTCATGTTCCACACTCCCTCCACAGCCATGCGGCAGAAACGCTTCAGGACAACTCTCTCCTCCAGATTGAGGCAGCGCCGGGCCACGCCTCGAGGGGTGAGCTGATGAAACACAAAAGCGGCGTACAAGCCTGTGAGCGTTTGGCCGAAGGGGGCGATGCTCTCCCCCACCACGTCCTGCAGCTGCAGAGCCACGCAGATCAGAGAGCCCACGGCAGGGACCTGACACTGGTCGAACAGCTTACGGTTGTTCATTATCGCACACAACCCTTGCGTCTTCTGATGCTCACCGATCCCGCGCTCGAGGAGCAAGTGGATTCTTTGTTCTGCGGTGATTCCTCTAACAAACAGGTAACGGGGAGACACGACCTCCGACTTGAGCTTCTCTATGCCCACGTCTCTGACGGTGACCATCAGGAAGGACTCAGGGAGCAGGACTTTCCTCAGCAGACTCTGGATGAGGATGAATGGGGGCTGCTTCTCAGCCCAGTCTTTGCAGAGCTTCGTATCACTGTTGAGGACAGAGCCCAGGTCATCGAAACCATCAATGATGAACAACAGCCTTTCCGGTCGGGACATGATCTCCGTCACTGGAGCCTGGGCGTCTGGCCATTCCCTGGAGATGAACTCTGCGACACTGCTCTCCTTCTTCTGCTGTATCTCTCTAACGGGGAGGAAGAAGACGTAGGAGAACATTCCCTGGTAGAGTCCACCTTGTGCCCAGCACAGTACGATCCTTCTGGCCAGAGCCGATTTCCCAATTCCTGACTTTCCGTGTAGAACCACCGTGTGAGGCCGGAAGCCCCATTGGTCTGAATTAAAAGCACCAGCCAACATTTGCATTTCTGGCCAGTCAGCAGTTTTTTCAAAACCACGACGTACATCCTCCTTCACGGCGAATTTGGTCACCACGTGACTCTTGTAGTCCCATTTGTCACCTCCACATTCTGAAGTCAGAGAGGGTAGAAAGAAAATCAGGAAACAGTTTGAAGAAAGCACTTGACTATTCTATGTTTAGCATCCATCCAACAAAGTTGTGATGGACTCAAGTCCCCTAGAATTATGGCTTCTTTAGAATTTTGTCTTCATAGTATCTAACTGTAGATAATCACGGTAAACGTGCATAGCTCTATCCATGGGACTGATCGAGAACGCGAAGGGAAGGGGTTGACACCAGAGACAAATGAGAATGAAGAAAGGCAATCTAAACTACGTACCCTTGCAACTAAACTACTTACACTTCTTTCACCCAACTTTCTTCCAGGAGGGCAACCAAGGAATAAATCTGTTTTCCTCACCTTGTTCTTCTGTCTCGGCTGCTGTGGCACCTTCTTGTTCCATAGCTTGTGAAATTTCTGCAAAAGAATGAATTCCAACTTACTTGTGTTTATTATTCAAATCAGATATGTCAGACACCCCCAAGATAAGCTCAGTCATGCCATATTTAGTTTTCTGGCCAGTTTAAAGCATGGCAACCACTGGCTCAGCTAGAAGACCGAGTGTGCTAGTACAATGAGCACTAATTCAAGGCTTGAGGGTGAGAGTCCCAGGCTCATTTCTCCTTGGAGAGCCTTGCACAAGTTATTAAAATGAGGGGTAGGTTGGCTTGGTGGCTCACGCCTGTAATCCCAGCACTTTGGGAGGCCAACGTGGGCAGATCACGAGGTCAGGAGTTCGAGACCAGCCTGGCCAATATGGTGAAACCCCATCTCTGCTAAAAATACAAAAACCAGCCAGGCACGGTGGTGTGCACCTGTAATCCCAGCTACTCGGGAGTCTGAGGCAGAAGAATCGCTTGAACCCGGGAGGCAGAGGTTTCAGTGAGCCAAGATCAGGCCACTGCACTCCAGCTTGGGTGACAGAGCGAGACTCCTTTAAAAAAAAAAAAAAAGTCATGAAGGCAAGACATGTTTTTCTTACCACTGTAATTCCATCACAATTCTTCAAAGGCAGGTGTTCATGTACATATTAGTTGATAGAAGGAATTAAGAAAATAATTACTGCCACTTAAGTTTGAAGAAAGCCCTTGACTACTCTTGGCCATATGTTTAGCATCCATCAAAGTTGTGATTGACTCGAGTCCCCTAGAATTATGGGTTCTTTAGAATTTTGTCTTCATAGTATCTGACTGTAGATAACCATAGTGAACTTGTGTAGCTCTATCCATGGGACCGATCAAGAGTGTGAAGGGAAGGAGTTGACACCAGAGGCAAATGAGAATGAAGAAAGGCAATCGAAACTACATACCCTTGCAACTAAACTACTTACACTTCTTTCACCCAACTTTCTTCCAGGAGGGCAACCAAGGAATAAATCTGTTTTCCTCACCTTGTGCTTCTGTCTCGGCTGCTGTGGCACCTTCTTGTTCCATAGCTTGTGAAATTTCTGCAAAAGAAGAATGAATTCCAACATACTTGTGTTTATTATTCAAATCAGATATGTCAGACACCCCCAAGATAAGCTCAGTCATGCCATATTTAAGTTTTCTGGCCAGTTTAAAGCATGGCAACCACTGGCTCAGCTAGAAGACCGAGTGTGCTAGTACAATGAGCACTAATTCAAGGCTTGAGGGTGAGAGTCCCAGGCTCATTTCTCCTTGGAGAGCCTTGCACAAGTTATTAAAATGAGGGGTAGGTCGGGCACGGTGGCTCATGCCTGTAATCCCAGCACTTTGGGAGGCCGAGGCGGGCAGATCACCTGAGGTTAGGGGTTCAAGACCAGCCTGACCAATATGATAAAACCCAGTCTCTACTAAAAAAAAAATACAAAAATTAGCTAGGCATGGTGACATGTGCCTGTAATCCCAGCTACTCAGGAGGCTGAGGCAGGAGAATCACTTGAACCTGGGAGGCGGTGGTTGCAGTGAGCTGAGATCATGCCACTGCACTCCAGCCAGGGTGACAGAGCGAAACCCTGTCTCAAAATTAATAATACAAAAATTAAACGAGGGGTAAAACCTACAGTTAAGAATTAAGGATCTTAGAGCCAGATGTTGTGATACATGCCTGTAGTCCCAGCTACTCGGGAGGCTGAGGCAGGAGGATCACTCGAGCCCAGCAGTTTGAGGCTGTAGTGTGCCACAGTTGTGCTTGTGGATAGCCACTGCATTGCAGTCTCAGCAATATAGCAAAACTCTGCCTCTTAAAAAAAGAATTAAGGATTTGAGTCAGACACAGGATTCAAATGTGAATTGTCATATACTACTTGTAAGATCTTCATCAATTACTGAGGTTACATGTTTCTGGATGTTCATCTACAAAAGCAAAGAAATTATTCCTATGTTGTCGAGTTGCTGTGGAGATGATTTAGTAGAGTAATAACACAGCCTCTGGCACATAGTAGCAACCACTGACTGAGAATAACCACTATATATATTTATCAGGACATAGTTACCATGTGAGGCTAAATACAAATTCCTCTTAGGATCTATGAGAATAGATTTGCCATTTTAAAGAATAATCATTAGGGTGGTCTTTGTCTTGTAAATTAGAGAAACATTATCTATTTTTCAAAAAATCACAAACAGAATAAAAACCGTTTAAGGATTTTTAAGCAAGGGAGTAAAGTTACAGATGTAAATTTTTAGATCACCTTGGTTATTGTATGAAAAATGGATCGTATGTGAAAATGAATTGCGTTTGAGATACGAATGAAATGCCTTTAAATACAGCAGATGGGAAGAACTGTGAACAAATGGGTCATATATTACAGGTAGAGACCATGGGATTTTCTGATTTGCTAGATATAAGGTGGAGAAAAGAAATATTAAAAAATAGAACTACTCAGGAAGTTGAGGCACGAGAACTGCTTAAACCTGGGAGGCGGAGGTTGCAGTGAGCCAAAACTGCACCACTGCACTCCATCCTGGGAGACAGAGTGAGACTCCATCTCAAAAGCAAACCAGAAAAAGAAAATGACTTGAAGCTTTTGGTGTAAATGACCAGGCATATAGTGATGCTATGTACCGATGTGGAAAACAGTGGAGGCGGATATCAAGCGAACGCTCCACCCAAAAGCAGAAAATATGCCCTTCTCAACTGCAAACAGACCTTCTCCAAGATAGACATATCAGGCATAAAACATGCTTCAAGTTGATGTGCTTTGAAATTATACAAAGTATGCTCTCTTAACACAATGAAATAAGATTAGAAATCAGTAAGAAAATTTGAAAATTTCCAAATACATAGAAGTGAAGCCACAATCGTGTGACCTCAATAGGTCAAAGCGGGGAAACAAAAGGGAATTAAATACTTTGAAATGAGTGGAAACAAAACAGCAGTATTTACGGTGTGTAGATAGAGCCGTGCATAAAGGAAAATTTATAGCTATAAATGCCCAAGAAAGATCTGAAATATAACATAACTTCCCACCTTAAAGCAGGAAAGAACCCCCTTTGGGGTTAGTGAGCAGCAAACTGACCCCAAAATGGACAGAGAAAGGGAATAAAGAACAGAAGTAAACAAAATACAGAATGGAAATACAATAGAGAAAACAAACCCAGCAGTTTGTTCTTTGAAAAGAAAATTGACAAACCTTTACCCAGACTGACCAAACAACAACAACAACAACAAAAAACACAAAAAACAGACAGCTAAAATTACTGCAGTTGGGAATGAAAGAGGGTCACAACTAACGACCTTAAAGAAATGAAAAGGAGTTTGGCCGGACACGGTGGCTCACGCCTGTAATGCCAGCACTTTGGGAGGCCGAGGTGGGTGGATCACCAGGTCAAGAGATTGAGACCATCCTGGCCAACACGGTGAAACCCTGTCTCTACTAAAAATACAAAAATTAGCCAGGCATCATGGTGGTGGGTGCCTGTAGTCCCAGCTACTCAGGAGGCCGAGGCAGGAGAATGGTGTGAACCCAGGAGGTGGAGGTTGTGGTGAGCTGAGATTGTGACACTGGATTCCAGCCTGGGTGACAGAGCGAGAATCCCTTTCAAAAAAAAAAAAAGATGTGGTATATATATACAATGGGTTATTCAGCCCAAACACACAGGAAATTCTGTCATTTGCTACAACATCGAGGAACCTAGAGGACATTACGTTAAGTGAAGTAAGCCAGGCATAGAGAAGTACCAGAGGATCTGACATGTGGAACCCAAAAATATCTAACTCAGAATTGGAGGGTGGAACGGTGGTTACCAGAGGCTGGTGGGGCAGACAGTGGACCGGGAAAGGTGGAAAACATTAGTCAACAGGTACAAAGTTACAGCTAGACAGGAGGAGTAAGTTCTGGTGTTCTACTGCACAACAGTGGTGACTGGTTAATAACAATGTATATTTCAAAATAGCTAAAAGAGGATTTTAAATGTTCTCAGCATGGCTGGGTGCGGCGGCTCAAGCTGGTAATCCCAGCACTTTGGGAGGCTGAGGCGGGCAGATCACACGAGGTAGGGAGTTCGAGACGAGCCTGGCCAACATGCAGAAACCCCGTGTCTACTAAAAATACAAAATTAACCGGGTGTGGTGGTGCACTCCTGTAGCCCCAGCTACTCGGGAGGCTGAGGCAGGAGAATCGCTTGAACCCGGGAGGTGGAGGTTGCAATGAGCCGGGATCCCGCCATTGCACTCCAGCCTGGGCCACAAGAACAAAACTCCATCTCAAAATAAATAAAATTTTCTCAGCACAAAGAATATTTGAGGTGATGGATAAGCTAGTTACCCCGATTTGATCATTCTACAATATATACATGTACTGAAGCCTCATGACCCCATAAATATACACAACTCTTATTTTTCAGTTAAAAATCAAAAAACAGTAGTGTGAATAATCAGAGAACATGCAAGGTTCTGTCCATGGTGCTGATCCCAAGATCTCCTAGGGAAGGGACACACCAGAGACAAATGAGAATGAAGAAAGGGAAAGTGGATTTCCCCGTCATTTGAACTGCATGGACTTCTCTCACCCAGCTTTCTTCCAGGAGGGCAACAAATGAATAAATCTATTTCCTTCACCTTGTTCTTTTGTCTCTGCCGCTGTGGCACTCTCTTGTCGCTTAGCTTGTGAAATTCCTGCAAAAGAGAAGGGAGAAGAAGAAACACAAACATACTATGTATATTATTCAAATCAGAGATGTTGGTCACCCCAGATAAACTTAGCCTTGCCATATTTTCTGACCAGTTTAGAGGACAGAATCACTGGCTCAGTGCCAGGGCAGAGTGTGCCAGTAACATAAGTCCTGGATTCAAGATCAGACTATTCAAAATCAAAAGTATTTCTATACACTGGCAGTAAACAAAATAAAATGAACAACTTGGCCTGGCACAGTGGCTCATGCCTGTAATCCCAGCACTT